GCATTACATTATCAGGAAAGGGAATACACTTTATTCTGTCTATGGACTCCTATGTAGAAACTGGTAAACTGTTATATCAGTAGTGTGGCTCTGAATTTTCACGTGAATGTATATTTAACAATGTAACTTCACATAAATATATTTCTTTATCTAATGAGTTGTTTTTCACTCATTTCTAAAAGGCCATATAGTGAAAACTAGCCTCTATTTTGAAAAGCATCTCTTGAGGAGATTTTAAAGCCTTATCTACACATGAAGGCTATTCTGGAATAGCTTTGAGTGGAGTAACCATTTCTGAATAAAATCACATTTATAGTGAAATAGAGTTTCCACTCTAGAATAGCTGTGCTGGCCAATTTCCCTGTGTAAATAAGTCACAGAAGGGACCATATTAACAACTTTCTAGGAGGCAGAGGGGCGCTTATAAATGCACATATTCTAAAATAAGCTCACATAATCATAATGTTGGTTTGTATATGCAGTTTTGAGAGGCAAAAAGAAATTGCTTCATTAAGTTTGTCAGCAATAAAAATCTGCTGCTGATCAGCTTTGTCCTTGTCCTGCAGTCACAAGGACGGGGCTGAAGGCTACGTTTTTTAGGACTCTGTGGGCTACAACTGGCCTTGGAGCCACACATTGAGCAATCGTTACTTAAACCTACAGAGCAATTACCTATAATATGCTTGAAGACAAGACCTTCCAATCTTGTAAAATTATTCTCCGTTGCTACTAGTGTCACTCTTAAAATACAATTACATCATTGCATCCTTCCAAAAACCAACACAACTGCATTTATCTTATTTGATCGCTGACCCATTTGAGTCCTGTGCTGCATCCTCCTTCACAAGAAGGAACACCTCTGAAAACGCAGCACTCATTATTTTGTGTAAATAGCTGTGGAGGTGTTTTAAAACCCAATAGCAATAATAAATGCACTGGTGGGGACATGTGTTGCCCATTTGAGGGGAAAAAAGCTATTGATTGGCTTCTTTGTGTGTGTCGGCTGTCTCTGTGGAAAAGCGCAGGTGACTGGATTTTGTGGTTGTGTAGCTAAAGTTAGTTTAAAGAGAGATTCCCTGTTGGGATTGTTGCAAAGCCAACTGTGAATAAAGCTGCCCTGCTTTAATCTTTTATGTACTGCACTTAAGTTTTATGTGATGGGTTCTCTCTCTCCCTATGCTTCTTTGGTGTATACTTTTCCAGTAGAAGTGCACTACACTGTCATGTATCTGTATTTGGAGAAGAATCACCAACATTATATTCTCAAACCTCTCATTAATTGGGCATCTTGTTATTTTTGTGAATTTATTTAATGAACTGTCTCACTTTCTTTCTGCCTCCCAGATATGCCTAATGTTAGCACCAAAAAAGATAAAATTTGAAAGACTATCAAGTATTATTGATAATTATTATCACCAGGGATCTTGCCTTGGAACGGAAGAAGCTTAAGGTCCTGTTTACACTAAAAATTTCAGTCAATACAAATTACTCTGGTATACAGCTGCTGACATCCGTGTATCACTCAGGCATCTGTGCACATTTGGCTGCTTGCGTCAGCACTGCACCTACTCATCAGCAGGGCCAGCTCTGGGGGGGGGGAACGGGTGGGAGAGAGAGAGAAGGAGGCGGCCAGGACTACAGCAGGGGCACTGCCACTCGGCCCCTCCCGCTGCGCTGCTGCCTGCCGCGAGGGCTCCGCTCCGGTCTGCGGGTAGGGAAGGAAGAGGACTGCCCTGCAGGGCACTCTGGTTCTCCGCGCCGCCGCCCCCTACAGAGCGGCCGCCCCCTACAGAGCGGCCGGAGCGGAACAACAACAAAAAAAAGCGGCCATGCTGCCCTAGGATTGGGCAGAATGCTGCCTCGAACAATCTGCCGCCCCAAGTACCAGCTTGCTCAGCTGGTGCCTGGAGCCGGCCCTGCTCATCAGGAGTGCTTCTGCTGATGCAAAGTACGGTACACCATAGTTAGGTATCCCCGTGTGCCATGCGCCATTGTCCAGTGTGATGCCTTTGGGGAAATTTTCACAGTGTGTTGTGGGGTAGAAATGACTGGTGGGATTGCATCATAATGTAGTTTTTGAGATGATGAGCAGTGTCTGCAGAACTTTCAGATGTGAAAGGTCACCTTCCTGGATCGATGTGCCAAGCTCACCCCAGCCCTCCAATGCATGATACCAGAATGATAGCGGAGAAGCGAGTCGTGATTGCACTCTCGAATCTTGCAAAGCCATATTGTTACTGGTCTGTGGGAAGTCATTTTGGAGTTGGAAAATCCACAGTGGGAGCCATTGCCATGCAAGTGTGTAGGGCTATTAATTATCTCTGCCTATGCAGGACTGAGACTCTCGACAATATGCCAGACACGGTGGATGGATTTGCATCACATCGCTGTTTTGGCACCAGCCCACCTCGCCATAGAGTACATCAACAGAAAGGGCTATTATTCTTTGATTATGCAAGTGCTGGTGGATCACTGGGGATGCTTCACTAGTATCGATGTGGGCTGTTGAGGGAAGGTGCATGAAGCTCACATCTTTAAGAAGGAAGGACTGTTCAGAAAACTGCGGGTTCAGACCTTCTTTCCTGACTGGAAATGCCAATTGTGATTCTGGGGGACCCTGCCTACCCCTTACTCCCCTGGCTTGTGAAGCTGTACACTGGCCACCTTCATAGCACCAAGGAAAGATCCAACTACTGGCTCAACAGGTGCAAAATGAATGTGCTTTTGATAGATTGAATGGACACTGGGGTGGTGGCGTTCACTCACTAGTTTGGATCTCAGTGATTATTCTCAGTGATATCTCAGTGATTATTGCTGCTTGTTGTGTTTTGCATAGTATCTGTGCGGCAAAGGGGGAAAAGCTGCTGCCAGGTTGGAGGGCAGAGGTGGACGGCATTTAAAGTCGGAGATAAGTGGTTGTGGGAGGCTTTGAAAGAACACTTTAACCGTCAGTCATCGTAGTGTTCTGTAGGCTGGGAGCTTTGGGTGTTGCTCGGAATTGAGTAGTGCTTGCTGTACACTTATAAATGCAGGTGTTGTCCTGAAGCCATTAACTATGTGGTGTGTGCCATATGTACATTTACAAGTACTGTTTGCTTTGAGTACCACTGTGCGTTCTACGGTATGTATTGGGAACTAATAAAGATTATTTTATTCTCCAAAAATTGAACTTTATTGAGTGGGGAAAAACAGGGCAGAAAAACAATATGCAAAAAACCACAGGCAATGAAATATAAATTAACAGTGTGGAACTTTAACACTGGAAAGGCAATAAACATTTCTGTCCATTTCAGTGCACGCATGTAGCTATGGCTACAATACACCAGCCGTGGTTCTCGCAAGTTAGTATATGTGAAGCTGTGGTTCCCTAGCATAGAGTGATGGGGTAATTACGTGCCCTGTGATGTCACATGGTATGTTGGAGGGTGTCGGTAGGGAGCAGCGACCATGGAGTTCTTCAAGGGCTGCAAAGGGTGGGAGTCTGGAATTTTTGGACCTTTAGGTCAACCAGCATTTGGGTTTGCAGCTTGAGAGGACCTGAAGGTGGCAATGTAGGAAAATGTCTTAAGCGAGGGGCATGTTAATATCAGGAAGTGGAGTGAAACAGGACACTTAATTATAATAGAGCAGCTTGTATTCTGTGGGATTAATATTTTTAAGTGATCAATATTTATTATTGAATATTCCCTTTTGTCACTTGATATGGAGTTATTGTACCTTTATCAGCTAAAGATTTATCAGTTAAATTGTAATCTTGAAATGAGCCAAGAGTTTTAATGATCTTCTTATATGTATAATGGAATTGCAGTGTTTAGGTTTCAGATTGGATAGATTTGCCATGGCGATGACTTAAGATAACATCAGCTTTCCTCTCCTTCATTATTATAACTTGGTGCAAGCTAACACTACATTAAGCAGCCAGGAAATGCTAAAGTTAAGGTTGACAATGCTGCTATAATTCTGCCCCCTTGCATATCTGCATTAAGGCAATCTTGTATCAAGTGAATCACACTTCTTTCTTGCAATATAATAACCTTTCTACAATCTTGCATATCGAAGCCCATGTGAGTATGACTTTAAAGAGTGTTTACCTTGTGCATTTAACAGCATTTTGTGTAGTCAGGTTCACTTTTTCTTATGTTGTTTGTGTGGATTCACAGTCCTCCATTAGATTGCTAATGGCAGAGAAACACAAATACACATTAAGAAAAATAATTTAACCTTTCACTCAGCAGAGGTGGGGAGAAAACCATTTTAAAACATTAGGAAAATGTGATTGTAAAACCACCAAAATAGTAGAGGGACTCCAGAACAGGTGTAATGATGGTACCTGAAAGTGCTTTTCATTAACTTTTTTTTTTAAATAAACTAGATTTCAAGAGGTCTGTGCTCATTTAAGGGCTTTATATTGACCCAGTTATTTATAACAAAACCTTAGCTGTAATTCAGGTGGAAGGCTTTTCCTAAAATTTCAAGGTATTTTATCAGTTCAGAAGACAATACCAACTGTTTAAAAACTTTTAGAATGTATACTACTGTATTAGCTATTGTGCATTAATTGCTCATTTTAAAGTTGGTCTTCACACGAAAATAATGAAGAAATGCTTTTATAAAAATAAACTACTCCACATGCCTACTAGTCAAAGCTTAGTTGTCATTTTAAATTAACAAGGTAATAAAATGGACCCTTAAAAGAAAATGCATGTCGTACCAAAACTACAACTTTGGATCCCTTTTAATTTCTTTGAGACAGCTAAACCAGCTGAAGAAACTGTGGAGTATCCAGGCTATTTATACTGGCTTCCCAGCTTCTTCCTCCTGACTTATCTTCTTGTGGAGGGACTAGCCCTACAGTCTAGACTTAAACTAGAACTGTGAATGACAAATAAAACCAAAATTGTAGACACACCAAAAATGACTAGCACACTGAAGTCTATTCACTTGGCAAATTTAATTTATTTAACTAAATTGAAGCTTTTAAAACTATATATATTTTTAAGAAACCACACAGATAGAAGATCCCCGAAAACAATGGAGGCAAGAACAAGAGCGAATGCTAAAAGACTATCTCATGGTAGCGCAGGATGCTCTCAGTACCCAGAAGGAGCTGTACCAGGTGAAAGAACAGAGACTAGCACTCGCCCTGGATGAGTATGTACGTCTGAATGATGCCTACAAAGAAAAATCAAGCTCTCGTACCAGCTGTAAGTACATTAGAAATGTGTATGTTGTAACTCCTTTGAGCGTGCTCTGTAATGGCTCTTGTTCTGCAATTCAAGACTAGTCCTCAATGTTTTGAGCCCCTGGCTGTTTTTCCGACAGCCTTTCCACTTTTTGCCCCTTAAGGCAACTGTGTTCTGCTGCAGGGAGCTCTGGTCTGTCCAACACAGTTGAACTCCTACAGAAATTTGGGCCAGGCACTTGGCTCTGAAAGCTGTTCCTTCATGTGGTTTGCTGGAACCGAGATTAGGTGGTTGGTGTTCTAAGGATCCAGGATCACTTGTTCCTTTTTGGCTTGCAGCCACCAGGTACTCAGTATGTAAATAGGTGGCAATGATAGATAGAGCAGTAGATTTCACTGCTTGCTGTTGGTAACAGTTTATTTTAATTTTTGCAAAATGTGTGCAGATATAAGGCATGGGGTTCAGTAAAAATAAGTGGGATCATTTTTGATTTAAATCCCCAAAACAAAGGAGGGAACCTGGTGGCCAAGTATAGTGTTTTTGAGAGGTCTGTGTTTGGGTTTTTGGCCAAATATCTTACTCTAGGATGGGGAGTGTTTAAAAAGCAGCAAGCTCAACTCCTGAAGAGAAGAGTAGTGAGTCTCAGGCTCTAGGGTTGCCAGGCATCCTGTTTTCGACCGGAATGTTAGCAGTCCGGTTGGCCGCCCGCAGCAGACTCCGCGCGGCTCCCGGGAAGTTGCTAGCATCTCCCTCTGGCTCCTAAGTGTAGGGGCAGCCAGGGAGGCTCTGCGTGCTGCCCCTGCCCTGAGCGCTGGCTCCGCAGCTCCCATTGGCTGGGAACCATGGCTGATGGGAACTGCAGGGGCGACGCTTGCAGGCAGGGACAGCATGCGGAGCTGCCTGGCCGTGCCCCTGCCTAGGAGCAAGAGGGAGATACCTGCAGCTTCCCGGGAGCCACCTGAGGAAAGCGCTATCCAGAACCCCAACCCCCTGCCCCAGCCCTGAGCCCCCTGCTGCACTCTGAACCCCTTAGCCCCAGCCTGGAGCCCCCTCCTGCACTCTGAACCCCTCATCTCTGGCCCCACCCCAGAGCCCGCATCCCCAGCTGGAGCCCTCCCCCCACCCCTCCAGCATCCCAACCCCCTGCCCCAGCCCTGAGCCCCCTGCTGCACTCTGAACCCCTTAGCCCCAGCCTGGAGCCCCCTCCTGCACTCTGAACCCCTCATCTCTGGCCCCACCCCAGAGCCCGCATCCCCAGCTGGAGCCCTCCCCCCACCCCTCCAGCATCCCAACCCCCTGCCCCAGCTGAGTGAAAATGAGCAAGTGAATGAGGGTGGGGGAGAGTGAACAAGGGAGGGGAGATGGAGGGGGGGAGCCTCAGGGAAGGACTGAGCAGAGAGAGGGCAAGCAAGGGTGGGGGAGAACAAGTGATGGGGGGGGGATGGAGTGAGTGGCAGGTGGGGCCTCGGGGAAGGGTGGAGCAGGGGCAGAGCAAGGGTATTCAGTTTTCTGCAAATAGAAAGTTGGCAACTCTAGTCTCAGCCAGCTGAATAAACCCACCTTCCAGAAAACCTATTTGTTGTGAGAGCTCCTTGAGCTCTGAAGATTCCTTCCCTCACAAAGTGTGCTGCCCAGCTAGAAGAATGGTGGCCAGGTGTTGAAAGCAGGGGGAAATGGGGACTTGCCTTGGGTTCCATCCTAGACAAAGAGCTTCTCCTCCCTTAAATTTTTGAACTCATCCAAATGATGGTAGCAAAAGTAGAAGAAAATGTGTTGAGTATTCATTAATTATTTTCACACAGATGCTGACTGTACTGTATAGAGGTATACGTTAAAAAAGTAATATCCATTTTATTTGCACTGTTATGTTAACCTCATAGTTTTAGTGCTAAGTGAACTCTTCAAGATTTATGGTTGAAAGTAGTAAAATATTTTTCTTCTTTTCTTTTCTTAAAATAAGTATTCTCAGGCTCCTCATCCAGCACAAAATATGACCCTGACATTCTGAAGGCGGAAATCTCCACTACAAGATTAAGGGTGAGAATGCTTAATTTAGTTCCACTGGAATTCTGTACATAAGGTTTGTGACTGCAGTGTGCTGAGCTTGGGCTAGCAGAGATTCAGATTTAGGCCTTTTGCATCCAGACATTGAAACCACTTAGCATTCCGGCTAAACGCTACTCAAGCATTTTAATTAAACTGTTAGCCAAATCATCCTAAAAACCAATCCAATTAATTTGTAAAGGGAACACCCTTAACTTTGAGAAATATATTCATTGGTTTAAATATGCCTCATAACTAATTTCACCTAGAAAATAATTCAGTAATTGATTGATTCCTTTTTAAAGGCGAAAGCTGGGAGAAGAGAGGGAGAAATCCTTTAAAAATGCCTAGTATGTGGATCAACACCCTGTGCTTAATTTAAAATGAGATCCTTTTATTTCTAAAATCAACTTTTGGGCTCTCACAGCAGAATTGGTTTTAAATTTGTAATGACCAGGATAATTTGGGACTTGTTTTAATCTGCAGATACAAAGTATTGAACATAAGTGTGCTTCTGTACACAACTACTAAAAGATTTCTGCATATTATAGGCATTGGATTTGGTTATCTTTTTAATAATATGAAAAATAAATAGGTTGATTTATAGCTTGCTCTCTCATGAATTAACCTTAAATAAGGGGGGAAATGATGTAGAATAAACTTAAAATCTAAGTCGGAAGAGGGAGTTCTGTTATGTGAACTGTGTCAAACACTGCATTTTGTGCAGTTTGGGTTCTCCATTTGGTATTGAATTTTTTGTCTAGTCAAAACCTGCTCAGGTTGGAAATACAGCACCTTCATATGCTTGGTGCTTGAATCGGTCCTAGGGATATATAGGTTCTGTATGCATAGAATTTACACAAGAGGTGCTGGTTATAGAGCTTTCAACGTCCCCTGCTGGACAATTCCTAGCATTTACAGCAGCCCCAAAGTCACGTCTCCTCTTTATATGTAGTCCAAATCACAATTAGGGTTATCAACAGCCAGTATTTGAGAAGTAGTATGATGTCACACGTTTAACTTGTTTTTCCAAATTAACATTTAACACACACACCATACTGCAGTACATTTGCTTCCCAGGTCATGCACACCCTTCCCACTCTCCTACCCAGGTTCATCATTGCCAGTTACTTAATTTTTAGGGAGTGGGCTGGCCAGCAGATTACAGAACATATTTCAGAGGCAAGTTTCAGGAACTCTTGAAGAGGAGGGAGCCCTCTGAGAAGAGGGATTTAAGCCTGTAGGAGAGGCTGACAGGATGACAAGGCCAGGGATGGGAGAAGAACAAATGTGATGGGGAGGGCAAATGATTGCCTCTACATGAGGATGGCTCCCTTTAGGAATGGCTAAGGAATTTAACCATATTTATTTCCAGAAGACTGGCAGAAAGGTAATGTTGTACCAATATTTAAAAAGGTGAAACAGGATGACCTGGGTAATTATAGGCCTGTCAGTCTGATGATTCCAAGCAAGATAATGGAGCAGCTGATACGGGACTGGATTAATAGAGAATTAGAGGAGGGTAACATAATTGTCAGTCACCATGGGTTTATGGAAAATAGATACATCAAACTAACTGGAGATCTTTTTTTGATGTGAACACAGGTTTGGTTGATAAAGGTAATAGTGTTGATGTAATATACTTGGACTTCTGTGAGGTGTTTTGACTTAATACTGCATGACATTTTGAGTAAAAAAAAAAACACTTGATATAAAATTAACATGGCACACATTAAATGGAATAAAAGCTGGCTGATAGGTCTCAAAATGTAATTGTAAGCAGGGAATCATCATCAAATAGGTGTGTTTCCAGTGGGGTCCCATGGGGATTGGTTCTTGGCCTTACACTAGATAACGTTTTATATTTTAATTACTTGTAAGAAAACATTAAGTCATCACTGATAAAGTTTGCAGATGACAACAATTGGGGTACTGGTAAATAATAGAGGACAGATTGCTTGGTAAACTGGAGGCAAGCAAACAATGTGTATTTTAATATGGTTAAATGTAAATGTATACATCTAGGAACAAAAATGTGAGCCATACTTAAAGGATGAGGGACTGTATGCTGGGAAGCAGTGACTCTGAAAAAGATTTGGAGGTCATGGTGGATAATCAGCTTAACACGCGCTCCCAGTGCGATGCTATAGTCAAGAGAGCTAATGCCATCCATGGATGCATAAACGGGGAACCTCAAGTAGGAATAGAGGTTACTTTACCTCTGTATTTGACACTGATGCGACCACTGCTGTGTCCAGATCTGGTGCCCATAATTCAAGAAAGATGTTGATAAATTGGACAGGGTTTAGAGAAGCATCATATGAATGTTTATAAGATTAGAAAACATGCCTTGTTAGTGATGGACTCTAGGAGCTCAGTCTATTTAGCTTAACAAAGAGAATGTTTCTTCCTATTAATATTTGAATGCTGGGAGGGAGAAGGGGTTAGCACTGAAAAGCCTAGCTGAAGAAGCAATTTGAATGTGAAGAGGAAGGTTGCTGTTGAACAAGGAGGGAGTTCAAATCATGGGCATGGAAGAAGGCTTGTAGATGGGAGAAGGGACAAAAGGACTGTCAGGCAGGAAGCTTAGAGAGGAGTATGGGCAGTGGTAAAGGGTGTAAGATGAAGCAAGTGCAGAGGTGTGTGGGGGCAGAGGGGGTTATACAAAGCCTTGAAGGAGAGGACAAGGAGCACAAGAATAGAATGCTTTAATGTAAATAGAGTGCAGTAAACAAACAGAGGTCATGCTTCATCATGTAGGTCACATTCTTCTGGGATAGCACACCTAAGGTTATGTCTACACTGCAGATCTTACAGCAGCACAAAAGTGCTAGTGTAGACAGACCCTAAGTCCCTGGTGTAACACTCGGTATAATGAAATGAAGATGAATTACAGTAGAGGATGTTTAGAAGGTGATCTTTAGGAAACACTTATGAGTTGTGGGGGATCCAGTCCTCCTAGCAGTTCTGTGGTTCTAGGGGAAATGGGGATGGTTTTAATCTCTACATTATATAAAACATGAATGTGGTAGTGTAGTTGTTAGTTTTTAAGGTTTTTCCATCCCTTGACTGGAAGTTTTGAGTGAAATCATTCCTGGGGATTGGAATTTTAGTTAGTTCTCAGTTTGTTTATAGTTAGGAAAATGTCTTGCTAGTCAGATGGTGGGTAGCAGAGGAGAGTTTAATGTCCCTTTGATACAGTCAGTGAATTGGACATTTCTGTCAGGATATCTACAACTAGGCTTGCTATAGCCACTCCCTTTATCACGTTAAATGTCTAACATGATCAAATAATTTGATTTCTGTCAAAGGAAGCAGTTACAAATTGTATTTCCAAAAAGATGAGTTCAGCCCAACTCCCTATATTTAGATAAGAAATTTTACTGGAAAAAAAATGCTTGAAACCATTTATTTCTACTAAGGAAAAAGGCATGAGCCAAAAAATTTCAAACTTGGATGCCTAAAATTAAGCTCCTCAAGATACATCTGAAGAAGTGGGTATTCACCCACGAAAGCTCATGCTCCTGTACGTCTGTTAGTCTATAAGGTGCCACAGGACTCTTTGCTGCTTTTACAGATCCAGACTAACATGGCTACCCTCTGATACTCAAGATATATTTAGGCACCCAAATGTTTAGGTCCTAAATCTTCAGAAGAGCTGAGAACCCAGAAGCCCTTTTGAAGACTGTAAGAGCTGCATATACTCAGCACCTTTAAATATCAGGCCTTTAGATTTGAGAGAGAGAGCGAGAGAGAGAGTAAAATTTATATTTTATTTTGGGGAATGTGTAGGGAATGTCCATCCAGTTCTGTGAACATGTTCTCAAAAATACAAATTTTGGGATATAATTTCTTTTCTGCTTATATAATCCCTCCAGTTCTCTATTGTAACAAAACCCATAGTTAATCATCAAAATTATATTAAAAGTAACTAGAAATTTTTAACACGACCAGATTTTTACCATTTTCTCCTGGCAAGGAAGTGAACCCATTGAAGGTGGCATCCCACTACTTTTGTCTACCACTACTTTCCCAGTACCTTTCTTTGTGACTTATCATCGGTCTAACCTCACATTGTAAACTCCTTGGAGTAAGGGCCTTGTCTTTTTCATTTTCCTTGTAAAGCAGCAACTCTGCTTGTGGTGCTATATATAAAGAATAGACAATGGTGGAATAGAAAGACTATATCTGCATTAGTTTAGGATGTGTGTGCTACTTAAGAGTGCTAAAGCCATGATTGTCTTATAGAGGTCATTCTAACTTAATGAGTGCCATAAAACCTTAATATGAAACCATCCTGTATTCTATTTGCCCTGATACAAGCCCATTGAAATAAATGGAAAGAATTGACTTTCGTGAGTTTTGAATCAGACCCTATTTGCTACACTTCACAGAAAAGAAAATTAATGATGTTTGAGCAGCAAAAAATGTAATGGGTTATTTTTTTGTATATCACTTATGAGTCAACTATGCGGTCCATAGAAGAAGAGAAATGTTATTGAATACAGTTTTTGAAAGCTTTAAAGTTACATAAATAACTACATAAATACAAAGTAATGTTGTAATTTTAAATATCCTCTATCTCATGACCTTCCAGGACTGGGAGCAAGTGCTGTGTGTTTCACCCGAAAGGGGAGAGTCTCCATTTTCCAAATGAGACAGTACTAATTTCTAGCCCTTGTGATTTGTATATTGGACCTTAAACTGGTCACTGGTGCAAGACTGAATATTGTATATCCTGGACTTCTGGCCAATGTAATTTTGAAGCTTAAAGTCCAGCGTGACAGGGGAAGGTAGGAAATATTTGGTAGGGTTTTCATTTTCAAATAATAATTGTTTAAAAGTTAAAACTAGTCCCAGGGCAGATTGGCTAGTGTGCAGAGTGCAAGTATGGCTGTCAGAGGCATCATAAGTACAAGTTATCACAAGACTCCACAATTTCATGTGGGTGTTTCTGCCACAATGACATCTGGGATGTATTAAGTAATTATTACTTACATTAAAGGGACACCGTCCCATATCTGGCCTCCACAGTTTGGTTTAGTTTATTTGGAAAGTTTTTACATGACATTTAAAAACAATTCCAACAGAGCTTTTTGTTTTTACTGACAGCCATTTTTGGATGGCGCAGCCCAATCTGTCAACATTTGAAATAGCATCATTAGGGTGAAAAAATAGGAATACTCTTTTAATCCCCGTGGGACTGAGATTTATTTTTTTTTGGTCAGAGCAGGAAAAATGTTTGCCTCAAATGTTCCTCCTAAATAAAGATAGTTGGTGTGTATGCGTTTGTAGCCAAAACAGACCAGCCTTGTGATTGTTTGAGAATCTAGAAACTGATTTGTGTAGAAACAAAAGTGAAATTGACTATTCTATTCTTGTTTCCAGGCTGACTGAAATGCAAAAAGTAAACAAACAGGCTAAACAGACAAGCCAACATCCTAGTTTTATAAAAAGGAACAATTCATGAGGAGAATAGGAACACTTTCTCTTCTGACTCTTTTGAACTATAGCCAACTGAGAGCTTCTTGGAATGATCAAGTGAAAATATTATAATAGAAAACTAAAAATCTGACTGTCTTCTAAGATAGTTATCATGCATGCTTAACTAGCAAAAAGTAAATTACATTTTAAAATTCTCTCAGGTTTATGTCAGTGTCAATGCTAATAAGAAAATGTGTTTTTAATCTGATGTCCGTTTAACACAGAGGTAAATTGCACACAGACATCAAGAGGATAACAGAATGCCTTTGTTTTTGATAAGTGCTAAAAAGCATCACACATAGCAATTTACCTTTTTTGCTTATCTAATGTAGAGACTGCATTAATTGTTGGAAACCATGGGTTACACTATTTAACAAGAGGAATTTTCTAATTCTTGCTTTGATTTCACACAAAAGGTTAAGAAGTTGAAGAGGGAACTCTTTCATATGAAGCAAGAACTGCTCTATAAAGAACAGGGCTTTGAAACACTGCAACAGTAAGTATAAGAAAATAATTGAATTTGACTTAAATAATTCAATCTACTAGTTAGGACTAAACCAAATACAATTATTATTGTACAGAGTTGCAGTGAAAAGACTAGGAATAAGAAAATGGCTGGAAAGAATCCACCAAAAATGAACTGTTTCCAAAGGGCTAAAGCTTTTTTTATTAGGCTCCAGAGAATCGATAGAAACCACAAACCTGCTTTGGGAGTAAAAAAAGCAGTAAAACGAGTTTCATCTCACATGTAACTTGCCCATTACACAAAAGTGTGTTGGAAAAGAGCAGGAAGGAGGCTTTGTCGTAAGTCCCATAAGAAGGGAGATTAGATCCTGCCTGCCCCCTCAGCTGGCATGGAGAGAGAGGTCTGCTACCATAAGGAGGTCTGAACAGTGCACAGCAGAGAACAGCTCAAAATGAGTTGCAGTTTTGAGAGTTAAGGGAGATCTTGCCTTTTTAAATGGATCACTCTCGAGCCCTGCATCATACATCTTCTCAGGCTTTATCTACACTACAGAGTTAGGTCGATGTAAGGCAGCTTAGATGTATGTCAGTGTCTACACTACAATGTTGCTTCCACTGAAGTAAGCAGCCCGCTGCACTGACATAACTCCACATCCACGAGAGGGGCAGCTGTAGTTAGGGCGACACAGTGTCCCTGTAGACATGGCGTTACTTATATCGGCTGTTATATCGGGCACTGGCAGTCCAGGCTGTCAGGGGAGTGTGGGCTCAAACTCCTGCTGCCGCCTCCCAGTGAGGGATTGCAGGGCTGGGAAGCCCCTGCGGGAGTCTAAATGTGAAATAATAGTAGCCAGAAAACAGACAAAAATGTCAATTTCACTGCTGGTAGGCTTCTTGCTGTGAAATTGCAGCCCGCTCAGGCTCACAGATATGAACCCGGCACCCAGCTGACAGCTTGGGCTGTCGGGTTGGGGTGTCCCAGCTGTGAGCCAGTACCCGCCAACGGCTGGGGCGAAGGGGAACTGCTGTGAGCCCCATGCCTACAGCTGAGGCTGTCAGCCAGAGGGCTTCTGGGCTCCAGCTGTCTGTCCCACAATGCCTCACTTCAGTCAGTGGAAGCGCTCCTGGTGAGGATGCGCACCACTGGCAGAAGGAGCAAGTGTGGACATGAACTTCTGCTGTAATTACTGCAGTGGCTGTACGTCTACTGAAGTCGACTTAATTTGGTAGTATAGACGAACCCTTCAGTATCCGAACATCAGCCAGGCTAGTTCTGCAGCAGAAAGGTACTTCCTGGGAATGGCAACCAACTCATGGTGACCCCTATCCTGACCAGTGTGAAAGTGTAGATAGCAACAGAGGGTTCTGTGGCACCTGATACATCTGAAGAAGTGAGGTTCTTACCCACGAAAGCTTATGCTCCCAGTACTTCTGTTAGTCTCAAAGGTGCCACAGGACCCTCTGTTGCTTTTTACAGATTCAGACTAACACGGCTACCCCTCTGAAAGTGTAGATAGTTTTTTACTGCGGAACCTTTTTATAACTGAAACCTGCATAGATGGGCAGGTAAGTCAATTTACTTATAGATTCTGTGCTACAGAACTCCTCCCTCTGATTTAGAGTATTTGCACAGACTATGAATTCATATCTTTGTGAAAGATGACAGCTGGATTTTTTTTGTTTTTGTATAGGAACCTTCTAAATACTAAAAGTGGAAATTGTAAGAGGATTCAGTTTCACTTCTTGGGAATCAAGTACCAGTCTTAGCCATAACACACTTACTTACTTAGTTAGGCAGATGCACACAATTAGCAATTTCAAATTTCTTTTTACTGAATAGCATTCCTAAGATAAACCATTACAACACAGCCGTTACAACTCACCCTAGCTAGACTAACCTCACTAACTAGTGATTTGTTATTTTCCTTTAAAGTGAAGAATGTTACACGGGGTCTAAACCCTAAAATATATATGTTTATTCCTTTATAAAATAAATACAAGGATTGGGACTTCTGCTTTCATGTGGGCTCATCCTGGGTATTATATTGACAACAAGATAAAACATCCAGTTGCACCACATAATCAGTGGTTTCAGCGTTCACAATACTGAGCATGTACACAATTTCAAATAAGAAAAACTGACTATTAATGTAGCTGTTAGGTACACATGGTGTCTTTGGTTCAATAATGTAATACACTTCAGAGACATTAGACCTCCAGTCTATGATTCCTCCTTTGTGGTGTTTTCCCAGCCTCAATTCCACTGACTTCTGTAAATTTACAAAAAACTGTATTGAGATCCAATCCGCAGACTCAGCCTGGCACAGGGGTGGGCAAACGATGGCCCGCGGGCCAGATCTGGCCTGCTAGCCATTTTAATCCTGCCCTCGAGCTCCCGCTGGGGAGCAGGGTCTGGGGCTTACCCTGCTCCAGCAGGGGAGTAGGGTCAGGGGCCGCTCCACACAGCTCGGCCCCCTTCCGGCTTCTACGCATAAGGGCAGTCATGGGGCTCTGCTTTGCACGTTGCCCCCGAGAACCGCGGCCAATGGGAGCTGCGGGGCGGTGCCTGTAGATGGGACAGTGCGCAGAGCCGCCTAGCCTCACCTCCATGTAGGAGGCGGAGAAGGGACATACCGCTGCTTCTGGGAGCTGCTTGAGGTAAGCGCTACCCAGAGCCTGCACCCCTTAGCCCGCCCCCTGCCCCAGCCCTGATCCCTGTCCCACCCTCCAAACCCCTTGATTTCCGCCTGGAGCACCTTCCTGCACCCCAAACCTCTCATCACCAGCCTGCACCCCCGCATGCCCCAAACCTCTGCCACAGTCCTGATCCCCCTCCCGCTCTCCAAACCCCTCGGTCTCAGCCCAGAGCACCCTCCTACACCCCAAACTCCTCAGCCCCACCCCAGAGCCTGCACCCCCAGCCTGATCCCTCACCCTCCTCCTATTCCTCACTCCAGCCCGGAGCCCCCTCCCACACTCTGAACTTGTCATCGCTGGCTCCACCCCGGATCCCACACACCCCAACTAGAGCCCTCACCCCCTCCCGCACCCCAACCCCAATTTTTTGAGTATTCATGGCCCACCATTCAATTTCTATTCCCAGATGTGGCCCTCGGGCCAAAAAGTTTGCCCGTCCCTGCCCTAGCAGCTCTATCTTCTCCCTGCAGTACTTGTCTGGATCTGACTGGTGTTCAAAATGTGTGCCAATTTTACCCCTGTTGGAAATCACTATTGCTTGGTTAGGAGTTTCCAGCTTCTAGCTAAAGGTGTATGTACATGCAAGAAAGTCTGCTCCTATGAACAAAGCCTTTCATGCCAGCTTCAACACAGCTACTGAGCAGATTAACTTCCTGCACTCCCTCTAGTGTGCTAAATTACAGCTACTTGTTTGCAGTCACTCAAGGCTCTATACTGCCACCTTGTCTGGGAATGTTTCGGTATCAACTCAGAGCAGGCAGAAACAGCAGCTGTAATTACAGCTGCTAAGATTTTTGGCGGAACACCAGACAATAAGAAAAAAATGAAGAGAAGGGAGTTATATAACCATGCTCTAAAACAGCTCTATAAACTACCTAGGAGAAGACTGTGGCATGGTTAGGCTAGTACCATACACAGGAAAACAATCCATGTATGTATTAGTCATGGAAATGTATAGCAGTAATTGGAAAACATGTTAATGTGTAGGTTAGCATGGCCTTAGCCATAGATTGCATCAGTAAATAAAATAGTGCAACTTCTGAGCTGCCTGATGGGCTCTAAAGGTCTCCTACTGCAAGGAGCTGATTTAATTCCATGGGAGCTGAGGGGGCTCAGCCTCTGTAGTTGGGCTCTAACAGCCTGGTTTTCAGAGGCTCTGAACACTGGCGGCTGTGCTTCACTCCTGCAGGTCAGGCCCCAAGTGACTAAGCATTGCTCAGACCTATTGCTAAAGAAACTGACAGCATGTTGTGACCCGGTACATACTGTAGTTGTCACCTTGCTAACAAACATGTTTTTCCTGACTAGTCTGAACAGCATTTTATTAATACCATTATTTGTATTATGGTAACACTTAATGGTCCCGACTGAACCAGGATGCTATGGCTCTGAGTACAGTATGGTCACATAATAATAGATAATCTTTGTCATGAAGAACTTACAAAGGCACTGGAGAAGACAATTATTATCCCTCTTTTATGGATAGTGAACTGAGGCACACAGAGAGTGACTTGTTCAAGTTCACACACAAACTGGCAGAGCTGAGACTTGAACCCAGATCTCTCTGCTCCCCTGTGCAGTGCCTAAGCCACAAGGATAGCCTTTCTCCAAAGGTGTCTCAACTTGTACTAACTAAAACATACTATAAACTACTTCCTGTGTAGTTTAATAGAACACTTTTACACAACCTGATTCTCTGAGATGGAAGAAATTCCTGGTTCAGGAAACCGATAGCAAAAAAAAAGTGAACACAACTGTTGCTGCAACACCTTCAGTCATAGTGCGATAAGAACTAGGGATGGGGATGTAGCTTTAAAGAGAAACTAAATTATTTTCCTTTGTGTTGGCATATAGAGACCAAAGTCAAAAATGGGAGTGGAAGGCATGCAGCAGCTCATAATATCAGCCCCTTGAACTCTTTAATTGTGGATAAAAATGAGATATGCATTATTTAAATCTATAATACGATGAAAGGAGGGAAAGGGGAAAAAAAGATAATTGCCTGGATTTATTTAACTATAAATTAAACTTCCCTGGAGGCACACTTTAAAAAAAAAAAAACAGTTCTGAAGCTTAAAGTAATAAAAACTCATGCCACTGTCCCTGGATTAAAGGTTAGCCAAGCACGCTGGCTTTACTATATTAATGCAACAATGAAGTATTGTTTTAAAGCAGCTTGCTTGCAAGTAATTTTGATAGGAATCCAAAGCATGTTTGAGAAACTGTCAACAGCATACCACAGGAAAACAATGGACATTTGTTGTAGAAATTCAGGCAGTCACTTCTGAACAGCACTAATCCCATTAATTTAAAACAGGAAGACAGAATATTTTATGTGTCAGAGACCCTTCATGTCCATCTTAATTACATACAGAATAAAGAAGTTGCAGTTTGAATGTGGCACATCATTCTGTTAAGCAACATGCAGCTTATTACCTGACCGCTCATTCATGGCTCTAGACCACAGGCATGTCCTATAGCTATTTGACCTTAGAAATGAGGTGATTTATGAAAAATCAAGTGACAACTGGCAGTAAATGTGCCCCTGCTCATAAGAGTTTCTGATGTAAATTGAAACCCAGGATATTTTGTCTGTATAAAACAAGTGCTGAGTGGAAATGTTTTACAACCTCTTATCTTTATTTTTAAAGCCCCTATTCTTCCATAATTTATGTAAAGGGGTATGGTCTCAGTGCTGTGGCACTGTATTTGGATCATGTGGGCTAATAACTAGATTGGGCCAAAACAAACATATATTTCCACTTCTCTAATGTGCACCCATTGTAATTTCCAGATGTGATAACTGCCTTTGTTTTATGGTGAAAGTGCTCTGGACAAAAAAAAAGCATTTTTCTGCTGTGCAATAAAAATGAGTCAAAAGGTAAATGTCATCTTTGATTTGCTGTGGGCATTCATCATTTGTTTACAGCTACGGAACAGAATTTTCAAAAAGATACATCCAAGTTTCTGTGCAGAATGAGTTATGCATACAGTTGTCAATTAAACAATTTGAGCAGCACTTACCTTTTTGCAGGTAAAACTGAATATTTGGCTTTGGAAATCCTTTTAGAAAACATGGTCTACCTTATTCCAGCATTTATAATGGTTGGCACTGGTTTTGGGTTTTTTTCATTACCAAACTTTTGCACATGGGGGACAAAAACTTAAATTTATGTGCGCAGACTGCATTTCTGCACACAAATAGCCGATTTGCTTAGAATCATAGGACTGGAAGGGACCTCAAGAGGTCATCTAATCCAGTCCCTTCTCTCATGGCAGGACTAAGTATTATCTAGACCATCCCTAACAGGTGTTTGTCTAACCTTCTCTTAAAAATCCCCAATTATGGAGATTCCACAACCTCCATAGGCAATTTATTCCAGTGCTTAACCACCCTCACAGTTAGGAAGTTTTTCCTAATGTCCAGCCGAAATCTCCCTTGCTGCAACATAAGCCCATTGCTTCTTGTCCCATCCTCGGAGGTTAAGAAGAACAATTTTTTCCCCTCCTCCTTGTAACAACATTTTATGTACTTGAAAACTGTTATGTCCCCTCTGTCTTCTCTTTTCCAGACTAAACCAATGCAATTTTTTCAATCTTCCCTTATAGGTCATGTTTTCTAGACCTTTAAATCATTTTTGTTGCTCTTCTCTGGACTTTCTCCAATTTGTCCACAATCTTTCCTGCAATGTGGTGCCCAGAACTCGACACAATACTCCAGTTGAGGCCTAATCAGCACGGAGTAAAGCGGAAGAATTACTTCTCATGTGTTGCTTACAACACTCCTGCTAATATATCCCAGAAGGATGTTTGCTTTTTTTGCAATAGTGTTACACTGTTGACTCATAGTTAGCTTGTGGTCCACTATGACCCCCAGATCCCTTTCCACAGTACTCGTTCCTGTGCAGTCATTTCCCATTTTGTATGTGTGCAACTGATTGTTCCTTCCTAAGAGGAGTTGTTTGCATTTGTCCAGATAATTTTGAATTATAATGCTATCCGCCAAAGCACTTGCAAACCCTCCCAGATTGGTATCGTCCACAAACTTTATAAGGGTACTCTCTATGCCATTAGCTAAATTATTGATGAAAATATTTAACAGAACCCGATCAAGAACTGATCCCTGTAGGACCCTGCTCATTATGCCCTTCCAGCATGACTGTGAACCACTGATAACTACTCTCTGAGAATGGTTTTCCAACCAGTTATGCACCCACTTTATAGTAGCTCCTTCTAGGTTGCTTTTGCCTAGTTTGTGTATGAGAAGGTAATGCAAGACAGTATCAAAAGCTTTACTAAAGTCAAGATGTGCCACGTCTACTGCTTCCCCCCATCCACAAGGCTTGTTACTCTGTCAAAGAAAGCTATCAGGTTGCTTTGACAGGATTTGTTCTTGACAAATCCATGCTGATTGTTACTTATCACCTTATCTTCTAGGTGTTTGCAAATTGATCACGTTATTATTTGCTCCATTATCTTTTCGGGTACAGAAGTTAAGCTGACTGGTCTGTAATTCTCTGGGTTGTCCTTATTTCCCTTTTTATAGGTTGGCACTATATTTTCCCTTTTCCAGTCTTCTGGAATGTCTCCTGTTTTCCATGACTTTTCAAAGATAATCGCTAATGGCTCAGATATCTCCTCAGTCAGCTCCTTGAGTATTCTAGAATGCATTTCATTAGGCCCTGACAACTTGAAGACATCTAACTTGTCTAAGTAATTTTTAACTTGTACAAATGCAGTTCCTTGCACAAAATCTTGACATGAAAAATTATGGCTGCAATTCTAGCACCTACTTTTGAAAACTGGATCTTAATGTCCAAAGTCAGAGGGAAAAATATAGTTCTGTAATATAAGTATTCTTGTAAGTTACTGTGCATGCACTGGATGCTCAAGATGACTTCTGATCCTGGACGTGTTTATGCATTCCTCACTCACAAGATTAACATCTTCAAATGAAGATGATGGACGATGATAGAAGCAGAAAATCAATTGCATAAAAATGCATTCTCTACTAGATGATAACCTTTGTGAAGATGCCTGTTTTTGTTTAAATTCTGCGAGGCACAACTGTAATAGTTTGCACAATGCTATGAAATATTCAGTAAAATAGTACCGGATAGGAGAAATGTGTTTATAAATGGCACTTGTTGAAGTAAACATGGCAAGACAAAATGAAATACCTTTTGTCTTTATGTTCTACAGAGTAAATAGCTTAAAAAAAACAAAACCCTTTTTTAATCATTGATATTCCAAGAATTGTTTGCTCTGTAAATTACCTACTGTCTGGCATATGATATTAATTCTCCAGAGATTCTGTGGGTAAAAGAGAGCCTGGAGATTGTCTGTCTGTGTGAACAGAACTGCTGTTCTTAACCATTGAATGCCTAAGAATAGGATGGATCGAGGGACGCTGAGTCAAGCTTGGTGGTGTTGTTTTCTGCTTACCTGTCAAAATGCCACAGCATGGATCTGGATATGCGGGGGAGTGTAAAGTAAGAAAAAAAATTCAGACTTTACCGTGATCATTAACAGCAGCAAGAATCCATACATTCCTTCTCCTCCCTCCACACAATTAAATATTCAGGAGTTAGTATTTTATTTATGTTGCACCCAAAGGCTGTGTCAACATTAGCAGAATTTAGAGGGGAAAAAAAATTCCACCAGTGCTTCCACCAGTTCAGCTGTATTCATGTTAGTATTTGCAAGAGTCCTACTTTTAGAGAAGGCTTCAACAGCTTCTGATCTTTGCTGGTGAGTCATTATCCTTGCTGCTGGAGTCTTGTCTGCACTGAGGATTCCAGTGATATTGCTGAATTGGTGGTGGTGCCGCTGGGCATTTTTTCCCAAATGTATCTAATGTACGTACACATAACTATAGAAACTCTCGAGCTTGGAACTGGATGTGGGATGGCTAGATTTTTTTTCAGTGCATAAACCAAGGCTCAAATGATAAACATTTTAATGAAAACTTTGTCTGTTAAGGTAAGTAGTTATTTTAAAAAGGAAGCTGTCTCTCTAATCCCCAATTCTCTAAAAATGAACTGTTCCTGAAATGGACCAGCAAGGATCTTCGTTTTCTTTTCTATGTCAAGCATTCCCAATCTGTCTTTTTACAGAATTGATCAAAAAATGTCTGGCGGTCAGAGTGGGTATGAACTGAGTGAAGCCAAAGCCATTCTGAGCGAGCTGAAGTCTATCAGAAAGGCCATAAGCTCAGGAGAAAGAGAAAAACAAGATTTAATACAGGTATTTATTGATCGATTGTTATCTTGAGGGGTTGATGTCAAATTTTTATTTTTTTTTAAATCCTAACCTGATTTAGTGTTGTAAACTACTCTTCACTTGTACAATGTCTGTAATCAGAGGAACTCAAGAATTTTGCAGCACGAAATATACCAATTTACAGATGAAGAAACCAAGGCATTTAAAGATTACATGATTTGCCCAGGGTCTCATAGCAAGTTGCTGCCAGAGTCAGGACGGGAACGTAAATATCCCAGCTTTGACCAGAAGTTCCTGTGGTCATAGCTTTAAAAGAGCCAAACATCAACAATACAAACCATAGCGCCGAGAGAGATTGAGAATGCATGTTAAATATTTTCCCTCCTGTACTTAAGAACCCTGCGTGAAATCCTGGCCACATTAAAGTCAATGGAAGTCTTGCTATTGATTTCAGTGGAGCAAGGATTTCACCCTGAGTCTAACCGCCACTGTACCCATTCCTGAAAACAGGTTTGGCATAACTAGCTAAATAGTCAGTTAGTTGACCCACTTAACAACAACAACAAAAGCGTCTTTCTTGTCATTACATAAAGGGCCAATAATGTATCCTTCACTTTGTCTGAGAAGTCTACTTGTCTTAGGCATTTTATTTATTATCTTTTTATCTTGTGCATTTATGTGTCATATATTCATTTGATTTTATATTTTAAAAATAAACCTGTTGTGAATGCAAGGTCCAAGATTAAATTAGTATTTTCTGCCTTTTTATTTTGAAATGGTTACACTATTTGCTTGGATCAGCAATTCTTTATAAAATATTAGGACATGGAAAGGTTGACTTTCCATCTGCATATGGAATACAAATGATTGAAAGTTAACAGAGCTCTTTTTCCTTTATTTCATCCTGTCCAGCTGATCACTGAACTTTACTGTGTATTGTGCCAATAGAGCTATTTGGATGGCTGGATAACTTAGTGCTAAATGAAAACTGAATGTTTATTCTTTTGGGATTTTTGATTAAATGTCTCAGAGAGACTGTGTGGTAGATAAAATTGATGTGTAGGATCCTTTTCAGATTACATTGTGGTCCTTCTGCTCCTGAAGAGCTCTGTTGTGCCTTTTAGAAACAGCTTTCTTAAGAGGTCTCCCATGCATTCCCCTCTGCAGCTGGCCAGCTGTGCTGGCTGGTACAAAGAGGACACTAGGTCAAGGCCCTGATTCTTCTTTTGGGTACATTTGCGGTGGCTGGTGGTACTAGGCTCTTGCAGTCCTGACATTCATCTGAACGCAGACTGAGTGGACATTTAAAAGGAAGAGAGACACTCAACTGTACACCTCCCCAGGTCTAATCTGGGGCTGAATGAGGAAATAAGCTTCACACTATAGTGCTTAAACTATACATTGAAATGTAGCAGTGGTGAAATGTTCCTGAAATGCAAAGATAAAATAGTAAAGCATTCTCTGATTTCAGAGCCTTGCAAAGTTGAGAGGGCGATTTCACGTTGACCAGACCGTTGGGAGATCTGAACCAGATTTGAGGTCCAGCTCTGTAAACTCTCAGTTGTCTCTTTCTAGACAGACTCTGGATGCAGGGTCTCAGACAGACATTTCTGGCGATGTAAGTCCTTTTCATTTTGACAAGGGTAAAGGGAGAGTGATGGCAGAATACTGCTGTTAATGGGATTGGAATCTTTACTCTTATTGCTGTGTGTGTAAGTAGGTGTAAGGGAAAATTACCTACCCCGGTGCCAGGTAAGTTTTTAGTTTCCCCTTAAAAATTTAATCTGAATTTTTATTTAAAATTAAATAAAAAATAATTTGCCATGAAGCCTTTATATAGTAATCTGATTTTATCAAACAATTCCTACATAATATAGATGAACAGTTCTATAACTGGGTAGTATTTCTTATTTATTTGTATGAGCTGTTTGATCTTAAAACATATTGTGAAAACAAAGTAACGTAGAAGTTAAGTTTAAAGCTGATCTCTTTCAAAAACAGGATTTCAAAATGTACCTAATAATTTAATTTTTGAGCAGCTCAAAACCAGTTGGTGGAATTAGCCTTTCAGTGATTGTCATTAAAATCTTCTGTATGTCAGTAACCCAGACACCTATCATGGATTTGCATTCAGAAATGTTTATCAAACATCGGCATTTTCCTTGATGTTAGTGAGCTACATGACTGCACCACAACTAAAGGTGGGGCACAAGTTGTCTGGGCTTACCAAAAGGAAGCAGCTCTGCTTTGGGGTGGGAGGAAGGTCAGAAACTGCTGCAAAAGGTGCTTTGCGGCGGTGACTCACCCCCCCCGCTTCTCCTCCCCAGGAATGTGCATAAAGGTACGGAACCTGGGTGGAGCAAGTCTCTATGTCCAAGCAGCAAGGAAGCCCACACCCACCCCCTAGTGGAGGCGAATGGCAGGCTGGGTTAGGGCCTGCTGTGGGCATTACGCTAGTTGCCCCTTTTAAAGGGGGCTGGGAAGGAATTTTCCCCGCACCACCAGAATTGGCTTCGGTGGAGTGTGGTTTTTTCGCCTTCCTCACAGCAGGTGTGAGGATGGACCTTTTCTGGTCAATAGAAAGGGTGGTAGGCCATATGTCTCAACTTATTTTGTAATATTGGGTGGATGTTCAGTGCAGGTACTCCATAGGGAGGACAGCCAGTGACCAGATAAATGGCCTGGTAAAGGACATAAAAGGAGGTCCTGGATAAAGAAACAGAATGGGGAAGGGGGTTTGGGGACTCCAGTGACCTGGCACAGCAGGGAGCCAACCCCCTCCGTTCTCATAGCCCTCTAAAACCCTCTCACGAGGCTGGTGGATGGTAAGGTCCAAGCCATGGGTCAGTTGGGGGACCTGGATGGAAACAAAGGGGGTTGGTGAAAGCCCTGGAGAATTGATTTAAATAAACATGGATTTGCCTGCACTGTACACTTTTTATCTGCCGGGTAGTCCCAGACATCTATATAATAAAATTGCGGCCTGATTAAAACCCATAACAAGTCTCCTGTCCTTGTGGTATACCCAGACAATGTATAAAGAAAAGATTGTATTAGGTTTTCCAGACATAGGCATTGTCTACACTACCGCGGTAAATCGACCTAAATTCCGCTACTCGAGCTACGTGAATAATGTAACTGCAGTTGATGTAGCTTAGGTCGACTTACTGCGGTGTCTACACTGTGCTGCGTCGATGGAAGACGCTCTCCCATTGACTTATCTTACTCTTCTCGTTCCGGTGGAGTACCGGAATCAACCGGAGAACTCTAGTGGGTCACTAGACCCACTAAATCGACCCCACTGCATCGATCGCAGCAGGGTGGATTCCTGGTAAGTATAGACATGGCCTAAGGGCGTAACTTAGGTGTGTCTCTAGCAAATGCTATTTCGTTGAAATTCTACTTTGAATTCTATTGAAGTCAGAACTTTTGATGAAATCAATGTGGTTCAAAGTAGGATTTAAATGGAATCACAACTGCTTACACCAGATCTGAATGTAGCCCTAATGTCAATTTCACAGTTGAAAACAAAAACAAACATAAGAAAAAATCACTATACATTATGAATTTGAGTAGTGTATTAATTAGACCTTGTACTGAAAAACAGTTGGCAAACTATATTGCTACTACTGGGCATATTTCCATTTTAAGTAAGTAATTTCTGTAGTACATGCATTTGCTTTGTGTTATGGATGTGTCTTGTATGATAATAAAGGTGATCTTTTTTCTCAACAGATTGGAGTGAAAAGTAGATCAAATTTAGCTGAAAAAGTCAGACTAAGTCTTCAATATGAAGAGGCAAAAAGAAGGTAATAGGGTTAGTTGCTTTGTTAAATTAAGTAGATTGTGAATTGGAACATGTTTCAGCATATAATGCATTCTGTAGCAGTACAACTAATCTTGTGCTTGCCATGACATCTAGTGGAGGGTATTTTTGGACAAATTGCAGCCAATCTATTCTTTTCAAGGCTGTTTTCCTTTTTCTTATTTCTGTCAGAGACTTGAGTCCTGGTTTGTTCTTATTATAAAGCACAAATTCAGTTTACTATGGCACAAGTGGCTTTTTGGTTTTACAGAGTTGTCTCTTCTCAGAGTGCGAGTTCCAGTGTAGTCTTTGATTGGCTTAATTATCTCATTTCCCCTGGGAACTTGGATAAATTAACCAATTGTATCCTTTTGAATGCTTTGCCCCGGGAGAAAGGAAATCAAAATCTCCACAACTGATCAATGGGATGTCCTTCAAAGAAAATGCTGCAGTGACTGCTCAGAAAAGTAATGAAATTTTGATTAAAGGCTGCCACAACACCGGTGTAACCAGGTTTTGCAGGGCAGAGTGGTCCTAAGCTGTCAATTGCACATGATTCTCTTTGACCACCAGAAAATATTATGTAGCACTGGGAAGAGATTTACTATGCCTATTTAGCCATAATATGTGCATAGGTCACTTGTAACTAGTGTTCAAATTGTGCTATGTTGATACTATTTCTGGTACTTCTTCACAAAATAGGTATGTCGAAGTCAAGCTTTTATCAGAAACCAAGCCTATGACCTCACCAATGAAGAGGCTTTGTCTCTATAATGAGAGGAAAACAGAAGCCTAGAGAGGCTTTTCACATTGAAGTTTCAATTTTTAAAGAACTAAGGAAATTCCCAGACAAAAATGAGATCTAAGATACTATTAAAGTTGTAAGTAGATATCAATTAAATGAGAACATTATAACATTGGCAGTCAGGGATGGAAGAGGAGACATTTGAAGGCCTAGAAATTAAAACGTAACTTTTTTTAAGAGTAAAAGGCAGGAGATTACACAAACAACCTTTATTGTGCCCCATATAAGCACCTAACAGCTAGTCATCTTACTGGGAAACTGTACCTCAACCACATGTCCAATATAAACCATAAAACTTGGTTTTGCCAGTAAATCAGTACTGTCTGCAAAGATGTAAAGAGACTGGGCTATGGAGCTTACCTCAGTATCAAAAGTTGTATGTTTTTTTGGCTCTAGTTCATAATGTAAATAACATCAACTACCATCCAGAACTGTAGATACTAATGCACAGCACCTTTCCATAGGGACCGTTAATTTAAATATAGGCCGTCCTCGTGACACAACACGATATGTTGGTGTCAAGAAACACAGCATCTCATGTCTTCTCTCTATCCACGTAGCCCAAAAACACTGACTGCATCGGTCTACCAAACCCACCCTATAAAGTATACGTTGATAGGAATCATAATACTGCACCATTGGATCTAGCTCTCCCCTCTTTACATATGGGATTTGGGTCAGACTTAAGGTTTTTATGAAACCTTAACTTTGAACTTCCAAGTATTTCTTCTTTATAACTAGAACATTTTAGTAATATCATTTTAATTGAACAGATCTCTGTTTATAATTTGGGCTGTAGTTTAATGGAGACATGTCTGGAAATAACCCAGTAATTTGCGTCCTTTTCAGTTCTAAAAGGAAGCAAATGAGACTTCCTGAAAGACAGAACACATTTAAAGGCTCCTTTTAAGGGAAGGGACATCCTGGTTTTATAAGTGACGAGAGAATGCTTTTGATAAAATTACTGTATCTTGAAATAATGAACAAAGGTAACCAGTTTGTCCTCAACCTCAATGCATAATCATATCACAGCATCTCCCATGCCAATTACGGTAGCCATAATCATTATTATAAAAGTAATAAGTATGACCCTTCTTTCTGAAGTGTCAAATGTGTGAGATTCACTTGTCTTGTATTAAAAGAGCCAGGCAAGGGAAAAAACACTTTCAAATGGGTTTCCCAATTTGGAAAGTATCAGAAAATATTTTCTTTTTCAAAAGGCTACTTACAGTTCTTTCTTTCTTTAAAAATAGCAAATCCTGTAGGGCAAACTCAGATGTTGCTACAAAAAGTCAGCTTTACTAGCCTCAACTACAGCAGATAAACACTTTTAAACAAGTATACAATACTTCTAGTGAATTTTGGTGCTCATAAACTGTGCCTGACTTGGAAGTCTTTATTCACAGAGGGCAGGTACTGCATGAGCAATGATATCTTGCTAATGTGCCTTGACTCCGTTAAGTGGGGACTGCCTCAGAGGGTGAGAGGGTAATTCAGTTTTCATGTCCATTTAATCCTTTTCCCTTCTGATGAGACTGCTAACAAGGGTGCCAATTATGATAGTGGATAGCTGGCTACATCAGAGAAAGCTCTGAGACCACCAACTCATCCCATAAGCCACTGAACAGCTGTCAACAGTATCTACTATCAGACACTACCAAGGTTAGCTAGATTTGAACCAGTGACCTGGAGATAAGTCTCTACATCCCATTCTCAATGTGAAACCAACCAGTTGATTTCCCTACAAGTCTCGCTTCCCTAACGGAATGTTAGATATAAATAATTGATATATTGAGTGGCTCCAAAATATGTTTACATATAAATTAAACAGTTTATTTTTTCAGTCTCCCTAGTTGTTTGGTTACTGACTTCATACTGCAGCTTAAAGTACTGTGTTCAGCTTTGGTTTCATTGTTGTTTTATAAAATATCATGCTACTGACTTGTTGTGGTTGTTTTAAGCTGTTGGAGTGGGGAGGAAGTCTCAAAGATCTCAGTTTGTGATTCAACCAAGTTTGTCCTTCTGATTTCTGAATTAAAGGTTATTGAGAAACTTGTTTTTTTGTGATCAGTGACGCTTATAATATCATGCTTATTTAACATTTTGATTATTAATTTTCCAGTATGTTGAGGCCGTTGTTTATGGCTTTTCTAGTTGAAGCTAAAGAACAGCTGATGTTGGGTCTTTCCTGACCGCAGAGAGAGTACGAATAACAAATTTACTCTTGTTTGTGAAATATTATATGGGCCAGATCCTCAGCTGGTGTAAAATTGGCATTGAAGTCAGTGTAGTTGCACTGATACACCAGCTGAGGATCTGACCCATATCTATTTAACAGTGACAAGACACGCTCTGCTTCTTACCCTGGATTATCCTGCAATGTGCTTCTTTCTCACCCTTCCCTTGCTCTGACCTTCTCCCAGTCTAGAAGAGGAGAGGTGCTGAATGGCTCCGGGAAATGTTATTGGGTGGGATAAACAGCTTTTGAACTAGGTGGCCTGTTGAAATCCAGCTCATGTTAGTAGTTACTGAAAGTTGCCATTCAGTAGTTATATGGCCCATGTGATGTAAGTTTGATGGTCTTTGTAGCTCCCAGTGGGCTTCTGTATCTATGTCATGAAAAGCCACAATACAAATGTGTGCCCCTGTTAGTTTCAGCAGAGAGGTTGAGGACTGAATGGTTATGGAGAGGGAACTACTAGAAGTAGTCCTTCCTAGTCAGGGTTGAGTCATGTTAGCAGGATAATGTTGGGAAGCTTCTACCGTCCTTAGACATACTGTATCTGTTCTGACGATAAGCAGAAGACTTGCAGTCTAGCACGTTTGACAATTCACCCAGACTTTTAAATATGTAATCTCCCTTTTCTTTTGCTTGCAAGTGTTGATGGTACCTTACCTTTCAGCAGGGTGATAAAACTTCCTTCATCCTTTGAGACTCATTCATCTATTTGCCACTAGAATTTGTGCCCAGATATCATGCTCATTATGTCACAAAGTTGTCCAAATATGCTATTACTGCAATGCTACCAGCTTCTAGCACTTTAGGGTAAGTGGGTACCTCTCTTGGTTCCATGATCTACCCAGTGCTTCTACAGGGTCAGCAGACTGATGTTTTCAAAACATTCAAGCTGTAAACTGTATTTTTAAGTCAGCGTTTGGACTATAGGAGAAAAAGGTTCACATTTTAAATCAGGGGTAGGCAAGCTATGGCACGCGTGCCGAAGGCAGCACACAAGCTGATTTTCAGTGGCACTCACAGTGCCCAGGTCCTGGCCACCATTCCAGAGGGCT